GGAGGTTGGGGGACTAAGGCTTGATCCCCAACCTGGATATTAAGTAGTTTTGTATTGTAGTTTAGAATGTTTCCAACAGAGAGATTGTTTACCTGTGTTGTATTTATTGTGTGCGAAATATGATCAATTGAGATTCCTGAACTCTTTTGCAGAGGCATCTGGAGATGCTTGGTGCTCAAAGAGCTGGCCTTGAAGACATGCTGAAAGAGATGAAGAGGAAGGTAGGATAGTTTAAATTGGTTTGGTCAATTATGTATTCTTTTTCTGAACATTCTGTGTTTTTATGGTGGTAGCTGATTTTTCTTTTTAATTTGTATTGTAATGCATTAGTACTCCTCGTGTTGGTAACGTATTAGTACTCTATGTGGCTCAGGATGATATACTGCCCAAGTTGATGGCTTTTACTGGTTCCCATGAGGATCTTTTTAGAAAGGAGATATCGAAGTATGACAAAATTTGTGAAGAGATTGCTCAAAACCTCGAAGCACAAGAACAGCTCCTAATGCACATTCAGGTCTGTTTTTTCATTATTTGAACAACCTAATTTTCGTTTTTTGCTAGTGGAGTATCTGAATCAATTCCTGCCTGGCTATCGATGATATAATTTTATGTTTAATTCAGATATGTATCTTTTATTACAATAGTTTTATATCTGTTTGATTGACTGTTTACTGAGATGTAAATCACAAAGGAGCAGTGTTAATGCTTTTTTCGGCCTTCAGCCTTTTCACAAAAAAAATCATTTCATACATTTTTGGGTTATTACGATCTCATTTAAGTGGCAATTGGATATAAATAATTTCAATTTTGGCTGTTCAGTTAAGATTTATCTATTAGAAACTGGGGAAAAAAAAAAATAAAAAATCACACACACTCACAAAAAAAAAATAATACTAATTCATATAATCTCATTTCTTTCTCTACTATCCCCCTAACACAATAAAATAATAAAAAAGTAATCATTATTATATGTTTTCCAACAATAAACATTATTTCCTCACACATTGATACTACTAGTCATTATCAATCAATATTTTATTATTTTTATATCACATCAACTTTAATCGTTAGTCCTTACATTTTTATCAACTATCCATTCACTATCACAAACCTATCTCACTTTTTTTAAAAATCCTTTTCCACTTTTCCATCTCTATTTTCTGAGGGGACTAAATTTTTTGAAAAGTTCTTATATCCAATTGCAAAGTTAATAATCCAGTTCGTATGGCTTTTGGAATAGAACACAGGATGTTTTTTTGGGGATAAATGGTTGAGCCATAATTTGGAGGTCTGGAGTCTGCATATGGGTTTACTGAAATCCACTTGTGATGTGAACCTGCTGTTGTCCAATTTTGAAATTTGAAATTTTAGGTTTACTTAGCTCTGTTTTATTTATTTATTTATTTATACTGGAAGTGATTTTATTAGGGAGGATATTAGAAGCTTTGCAAACCACCGATAAAATTTTCCTCTTAACATATTGTATCTTGTACAGGCCCAAAATGATGAGTTTGCTGCTATCTTTAACCTTGAAGATTATAAAGGTATGGTGTACTCTTCATGATGATCTTGGTCCATACTTGAAATTTGGTATGCCCTAGTATATAGCATGCAAGTAATATCAATTTTCAGTATTAAAAAGTTCCTTGTTTTGATCCTCAGCATCTCGGGAAAAGGGTTATAGACAGATTGAAGCTGCCATAGCTAAATATCGAGAAATCAAGGACAATATTAATGAAGGACTGAAGTTTTATGTTACGCTTCAGGTATAGTATCATGTTCTGACTATATGCTTCATTATTTAATCAAATCGAACTTGATCAAGAAATATATCAAATTTGAACTTGGNATAATTATATTAAAAACTCAAAAAGAGTACACTCGAGATGTCAATGACACCACAAGAACCACAACAACGTTTGGATCAACCCCCTATTGGAATTACACGATCAACCAAGGGGGTACGAACACCCGGGAAACAAAAAAACTCCATAAAAGAGACTAAACAAACTCCATAAAGGAGACTAATCCACTAAGTAGACTAACAAACCCAATAAAGAAGAAAAACTACCTACACACAAACACAAGCACACCTAAACAACACGAAAAGGAAACAACAACACACGCCTATAAACAATAGAATACAACCTCCCCTACTTCTCGCGAGTGCACCGCTACGGCCACCAGAACCTGCACACGAGCCAACCCCACAACAAAAAAACTAAAAGAGAGCAGCAGGAACTTGCTGAGTCAAAAAGACAGATGTTACGTCTAACATGTTCTGCCTGAAAGTTGAGCTTCGATATTTAAAAGTGACTAATATTGGCTTAGACTTACGAATTAATGTTACTGTAGTTTGTAATGTGATCCCTGATAGGTTTAAATAATCTCAAAATTGTAAAACTAATGGGAAAATGTTGACGTGCTGTATAATATTTGAATAAATGTATAGTTTTGTGATGATACTTATAACAAAAAGTAGGAGGAGAAGCGAAACCTTTTATGTGAAGAATGTCTGGTATGGAGGCTAAAGGTATTTACCTAGCAGTTGACAGTAGAAACTTGCTCTGTATTCCAAGCTGCTTTAGTTGATACTCTTTTTATTTTATTTCAATTCTCTCTACACAATCATCTGTCTTTGAGTTTTATTTGTGTATGGACTGAAATCACCCCAAGATGCATCATTTTGTGAAAACAGGATGCTATCACCATAGTAAAGCAACAGTGCAGTGATTTCGTGATGACCCGAAACATCCAGTGCCGGGAGATGATTGAAGATGTCCAGAGGCAAATATCGGGTCTTAGTTTCCAGGAAAACAAAACCACTTCTGGATACTCCTTTCCTTCCACTGGGCAGGCCCAAAGGCCCAGTTCTGAACACCAACAGGAACCATTAAACAATTACCAGCCGCCAAATCAGTCCCCAATGCCAATTTATTCTCAAACCCCACCGTATGTGAGCCAGCAACAAGTTCCACCACCCTATCATGTACCTTCTTCCAACACTTACCCACCTCCACAACACCAGCAGCCTGCCGTGAATCATGAGTACGGGCAACCTGCATATCCAGGCTGGCGAGGCCCGTACTATAATGCACCCCCTCAGCAACCAGGGTCGATGCCCCGCCCTCCCTACACTGTTCCTTCTCCATACCCCCCGCCTCCCCACCAGAGTGGCTACTACAGACAATAATAATAAGATTTTCAATATTATCTGCGTGTATTTTTTTTTTCTTTTTCACTTATCACACTTTCTGGTACCATTTTATATTATTAGAACTATACTACGATTGGTTTGAGTAATGTAATTTATACAACCTGTGAATCATCTCCGGATATCAGCTTGTACACAATGCTGTCTTTGTCCTAGTTCCGTCTTGTCTCCATTTTGTATTATTTTCAGAGATATGTGGGATAGTTGCGATTTTACCTGTATGGACTTCTTGATGTGATTTCATGCACATGATCATTGTTTAGAAATTTTTCTTATGGTGGTTAACTGCTGTCGGGAATAGTAACATTGACCTCAGTGATGTTCTTATGCCTACAGTTTATGGTTTCTGAATATGTATGTGTCTTTTATATATATTCTCCGTAGATACTGATGTGTTGAAAGTTGGTGTGCTCCTCTTATAGTATTTTGGGAGTAAACAGAATAAGAACGTTGTTTGCTGAAATCACCAGCACGTGGTTTGCCACAAATTGATAACATTGTACAGCAGGCTGTTGTTACATAATTTGGTTTTATGATATGGATTTCTTCTTTTCACTTGAAGAGGAGGGGATGCTATGTTTCTGTATCATTCCTCTTTGCGCTTGAGGAGGACAAATATTATTATTGATTTCTCATTGTCAGGATTTAGGAACAATGGTGATACCGCCAGCTTCTTCGTGTACCGCTCGAACAATTCATCCATGATTTGGGTTCCAAAGTGAAGGATTCATCAGCAATCCTTCAAAGACGGCCCTGAGGTATGTGCTGGGCATGGTGCGTTTCCCGGGATTGTTAAGTATTTCCATCCTTTCAATATTGAAGCTTTGGTTCCTCTCTATTATTGCCTTTAGTTGTTGTGGAACAGTAAAATACAACGGAAAGTTGAAGGTATCCACCTTTTCCTTGCTGACTATTCCCTGCAATAAAGAAGGAGATATAGTTTTTTATAGCTTTACTGTCTTTCATCAGTATCAATGTTGAAGTTATTGAACTTCACCTGCTAGTGCAAGTCTAGTGGGTTTCTGTACTTTTTGTTAGGCTTAAATACTTTGTTTCAAGGGATATGGGCTCGCGGTTGTATGCAGAAGTAACGATTACAAATCATACCCTTGAGGTTCATTCTGATTACAAATTCATATTTCTATTCACAAATAAATATTTTTATATTAAGACCTACACTTTGATGGAGTGTTGATAATCTATTGTAAGGGTGTGTTTTTTATTTGGTAAGATAGCCCTATACCTATTACTAATAATAAAATTGATTCCAACATTAACTCAAGAAACAGAGGAGCATGTGAATTGAATATAGTACCTTCTCTGCCATGTCATGTCCACTAGGCAAGAAGCAATGAGATCCATTTCAGTTGGGGTTGTGTAGGATTTCTCAAAGGTGGGGACTGCAGGCACGAGTAAGGCCATATCATAAGCCCTCCATCCACCCACAAGTTATATCATTTGCATAATGATTTGAATAGGCTTGGAAAACTTCCTTTCCTGCTAACTCTCCCTTTATTCCAAGCTGGGGAAATGCACCCGACAGCCAGTTAAGGGCGCAGGCAAAATCGAGGGTACACCCGCAGCGTGGTATTTGATCCCGGAAAAGGGTGTTGAAGTCGTTCATAACCTGATCACACGTGGTGGAAATCAGGGGTTTTGGATGTGATTTGGAATTTGTTCTCAATGGTAGATCATCCAAAGTCGGCAATTCCAAGAATAAAATTCTCTAAGGTGGTCTGTGTAATTATCTTTAAAGTTCTATACACTTCATTTTACCACTTTCTTTCATGTATCTGTAAATATGTAACATACCTGGTATTGGTAAGATGAGTTCTGGGTATAGCTATTAGGTCCTTCTCCACCATTCATGGCATAGAGGCCTAAAACAGACTTTTCATCAATTTTGTCTCTCAGATTGAGCTCTCTACACTTTGCCTGCTCGGATTCTAATGGAAGGAAGGTTCAGTGTCATGCCTCGGATATTGGAAACAATTGGCCATGGGATTATGAGCATACAATTGAGCCATCTTCTCGTTTCTTGCGTGCATATATGTGTATTCACACACATATTCAGGTATTGTGGATTCACCTGGTACGTGCATTTGTTTCATATCAAGTCATAGTCTCACGCATTTTATTTTCACTCCGCCAGTTGCATTATTGTTCCTGCTTTCAATCAAATAGATGAACAATGAATTCTGTAAAGAATTTATAATAATAAGATTCACGTAAGATGGGTGAATAATATATTTTTTCTAATTTTTTTAATACATTTTTTGTTAAATTAATTCTTTTGTGAGATCCATAGGTCATTATTGAGGCGGCAATTAAATATTGGGCAGTTGGCGGTCTCAATCTGTAATAATGCAATCCTGAGGGGATTTCGTTGAAATGTTGAAGATATACTCCATTAAATTTGTTAAATAATTTCGTGTGACTTGATGACATGCATTATGCAATCGTACAAGTGGATTAGTTGATCAAATCTTATAGACTATTTTGAAGCATTAGGAATTAATAAAATTTAGTGATATACTTTGATTGTACAAGCGGATTCAAATCTAAATGAACGGTTTAAAAATACCACAAATAAACATAGATTATGAAACACAAAAAACTTGAGAATTTTAAAATATCATATGTTGATATTTATATTAAAAAAAAAAACTCTAAATTTAAATATAGGAAGGGATGACTTGGTGAAGTATAGCAAAATACCACGAGACTATAATATTGTACAAGTTTGGCCTGTAAATCAGTTTCGATGATCCTCAGCATTATGTAACTTTCTTTATAATTAAACCTGTTTTGTGTTCTTTATAATTAAATATTTTTTTGGTTAATTATCCAGCTTGGCTTAGCGTGGTTTCATTTTTTTACAAAAGGTTTGTATTATTCAGCACTAACCAACTCTACAAATATAATCAAGTGCGGAGTCACCCAAAGGCTAACAATTTATATGCATACCAACTTTTTTTTTTTTTAAATATTGCACATATACACAAAAGATATACTTTTATTGTAAATTTTCTAACTATTGTTTCTTTTAAGTTTATGTGTTGTTTATTTGTAATTCATAACAAGTTTATATTTATACGATCTCGTTACAAGGCTAAAAAAATTATGTTCATATATCAAACAAAAACAATTAAAAATCATCAAATAAACTTTGAATTCCCCAAATTGTTACAAAATCAAGGGCTTCTTGAACTATCTTTCTCCTTCGTCACTCTCCTGTCACCGGTCGTTATATACATCCTCAACTTTTCAAATAAACCCCCAAATTTACGATCGTCCAAAACCCTAAAAATCTCCAATTTCCCCAAGAAAACTCAAGTCCTCAGATGACCCTTCATCTTTCAACTGTGATCCTCCACTCTAGAAGGTGTTCGGGGAAAGGAAAATCAAATTCACAACTGTCATGCAAAATATCACGTCCCACTTTTTTCCTCCTCAACCGGTACATTTAGCGCACAAATTAAGCTCCAGGTAAATAGCTCGGTTGGGTCCGCGTGCCATGATGTTCAGGTGGATGTCTCGTTTCCTATACAGAGAATTAAATGTTTTGCTGGAAAGTACCGAGAAGACGAAGGAGATCGATGTGTGTGATGAGGCAATCTGTGATGAGAAGAGGTGGTGGACGCAGTAGAGAAGACGAAGGGGATCAATGCGCATGACGAGGCGATCTGAGATGATAAGAGAGGTGGTGGCAATGGCGGCAAACGAGGAGGAGGAATGATAGGTGGAAGTGAAGAAGATAAACAATATTGGTATAATTAGTGTTAGTATAATTACAAATAAAACTTAGGATTTTGGAGTATCTATAAATAAAAATTGCGTTTAATATATATGCAATTATTTAGTAAGAGTCAATATGAGTAAAAGAGCCTTGAATTTATAGAAACAAATTAATAGGCCCATTATCTACTTAAATCAAATTCATGAATCAAACTCATGCTTAATTCTTCGGTCCAACCCATGCCCCATTATAACATGCAGAAAATTGAATAGAAGCAGACCATTGAATCAATAATAAGTCTTGTAATACAAGTAGAGAAAGAAAGAGAATGGAGAAAGAACGGAGAGAGAACAAGAGAGAAGAGATACAATGGTGAATCCTTCGTATTATTCATTCACTTGAACCCCATATATATAAGAGAATGCAATGTACATGTCTAATGATTTAATGGGCTTCTGGCTCATACCTACAAAACCTATATCTAGCCAATGTCTACAAATAAATATTTACAATACTCTCATTTGGATATTACAGCATCATGTCTATACATCGTTAAAAACTTCGCTATAAAAACCAGTAAGAAAAAGTAGTCGAAGAAAAGAGTACATGACATATGCAAATTCATGTATTACACTTGTTGCCTCATTAAAAATCCTACGAAACAAAAACCAATGAGAAAAAAAAAACTTGGCTACTGGAAAAAGAGTACAACACCGGCTAACCGCGAAAAAGAGTAAAAACCAAATTCATGTGTCACTTGGTCATGCTCAAATTATATCACAAATAGTATATTTTAACATTATTATTTTAATATACTAAATTCATTCACTAACGTTATTTTAACTAATTATCACTTCAAATCATCTCTCTTATATTTTTACATCAAATCAGTTTTACTTATTTTATTTTAAATATTATTTTAATATACCCACTAGCAACTAACTATATCATATTTTTCAAAATTAACCAAACCAAACCAATAAATTCAAAAAAAACCAAAAATTTCTATAAACAAATATGTTCAAATACATGTCCTGCACCTTCGTCGCGTGACTCGCGTCCAGCATCAGGAGTTCCAAAAGCGGCCTAGGCCAGGGTCATTCTCCCTGCCAGCGTCAGTGTCCCTTAGTCTTTTATTTTGTTGCTTTTAGAGTATTTTTTTCTTGTTCTTGGGTTTGTTTTTACTTTTTGTGGTTCATTGTCCATTATCGAGATGTCCCATGTGGGAT